CAGCAGGCCCCAGCAGAGGGGACAGCCCTGGCTCCCCAAAGTGCCACTGAACAAATCTGCATTCCCAAACTTGCATTGTAAACTGGGAAGGGACTAAACCAGGGATCAGAACACAGTCAGATTTGTAAGTCTGCAGTGGCAGGTAGATCTCAATGTGCAGTGTGGGCCTCCTTAAAATCAAAGATTTAACAGGGAAAAAAAATCTTACCTACCAGTGAGTTATTTTGCCAGTGAAGTGAAACAAATTACTAAGTTACTTGGGGAGTCATTTTAGCAAGCTCTTAATGCCTTGGGATAGTTCTCTGGGAGGATGCATCAAAATCCAAGCCATCATAGTACTGTTAAAGACAAGTTGTGTCTCCCATGTAAAAATAAGAGATTTTTTTTATGGTGTGTGCACAAAGTTACCCCCTAACACTGGCTCAGCTCCCAGTGTAAATCATCACATGCTGCTCTCATCTGATGGACGTAATGTGGAATTTTCCTCTACAAGTCCTGTTGCCTTGAGTTCCAGCAGTCTGGACTCTGGTTCATAATCCTGGAACTAAATGTGGATTGATGCTCACAGAGTTGCTGGAAGAACAGAGCTTGAGAGAGGTGTGAAAATGAGAGGTGGACAGATTTCCCTACAACAAAGGTTTTTATTTTGCTGACCAGGCAAGACAGAAGGTGATTTCTCTGCTCATCACGCTCCTTAACCAGGCAGAGGAAGGGCAGTAAGGCAACAGAAGGGGGCTGATCTCTAGAGATAAAGGTTTCTGTTTCTAGAAGGCTCCTAGCCCAGATGACAGCAGCTGCCTGCTGACCTGGGGAGTGCAAGGCTTGGCACAGGGTTCAGCTGCCCAGAGGGGGAAAGCTGCAGCTGTGGGATGCAGAAACATGAACTCAGAGCAGTGTGTTAGACCTGGATCTGGTGGCAGCATGCCCAGTTCATGCAGCAGAACTACTCTGAATAATGTAGAACACTGGGAATGGGGCCAGTTTTGGAGGTCAGTAGTGCTCAGAGCAGGCAGAGCTGGGGACAGGGACTTTATTCAGGGATAACTCCATGGCCACGGAGGCAGCAGTCACATGTTACCCTCAATCATTCTGCTCTCACACTTGCACATGCTCCTTCAGCCAGCAGGCTCCCAAAATGGAAAGAGAGGTACCTTTGTGGCCAAAAGGTGGCAGCAAAAAGTATTTATTCAGGATTTTGTGCAACAAAACACTGGCGAGTCACAGTGGCAGCACTGAATCTTAAACCTACCTTGTTGCAGGAGGCAGCAAAGCAACTTTTTCCTCATTGAACTAAACCATCCAGCCCAGAGCACATCTGCATCTCTCTCAGCCTCTCTCAAGCTGTCCCCATTAGCCTGTTGCCATTCATGATCTATTAATACTGACTCAGGCAATGCAATAAAGAAAGACTCCAGCAACATTGATTTTAGCTGGGCCAGATTCCACTTACCACTCATCAGCAGACTTTATTGCATCCTTTCCCAGAACAGCTACTAGTCATTTTATTGCATGTCATGGCAGATATATTGCTCTTCCATAATGGCTGAGCCTTAAATAAAGCTTTGTAGTCCGGGGTAAGTGTAAGGGGGATTTGCAAGGTGCTGAACTTAGTCTGTTACAATAACATTCCCATTGAATGCATGAGCCAATCTCATCACAAGGAGCACAGGAAGGGAGGAAAAGTGAGCCTGTCATGCTAGAGAAGGAGAGAACTGCCAGTACAACTGCTGTCTGTGCCCTTCAGGGTCATTTCAGGAGCTGGAGCAGAGGAATGTCCCACGTCTGCTCCTTCAGAACTGTCCCTGCAGAGGACAATGCCAGGCTGATGTCAGCGCTGGGACATGCAGGGGTTTCTTTTACACTCCAAGGAAAGGGCTTTATTACCCCTTTTAGCTGACAAAGCAAAGCTGGAGACACTCATCAGCCAGCCCTAAAAGCTGCTCTGTCCCTTTCTAGTGGACTTTTAATGACAGGCACTTGACAGGAGGTAACAGAGCCTAAGCAGCCCCACTCTCCTCTGCACAGAGCTCTGCTCATGTTTGACATCTCAGCCTGAACAGCCTCCCCTAACACCTTTTTGGGGTTTTTTTTGCAGTTCTTTTCTCCTTCAGCCTCAGTGAGAACCACCACAGTGCTGTATTTCTTTAGGCAAAATGCACTTCAGTGAAGATTCCTTGGCCAAGCAGATTGGAGATGTGTATGAGATGCAAACAGGGCTTGGATGTGGATTTTGGGGAGTGGGGAGAAAAGGGAATTGAAAGGACAAGAAAATCACAGGAGCCTGAAAGAATGGATCCATAAAACGTTCCACAATACAAATTATTTGAATTTGATTTTGAATTATTGTTAACTGAAACTCCCTGTATGCATAAGACACTTTTTGTCACGGTTTATCTATCAAATTCTGCTCAGACAGAGCATCCCAAGGTTTCAGTTGCTGGCTAATACTCCCACTTTCAGCAGGAGCTCAAGTTGTCTCTCTTCAAAGGAAACAGTTGTCATTAAGCTGTATACAAGCTGTCAGTGCACAAGTGGATGGGAAATGATTATTTTTTAAAAGAAGTTCAAAAGTTACCTCTTTTTAGCCTCTCCATGGCACTTTTACTCCCAGCATACGTAGGTCTAATCTCTTTTCCTAATTCTTCTATGATAGCTAGAAGTTCTGCATATTTGCTCTGTGGTACTTGACTGCTGCTGGTGCCCTGCAGTTGAAAGCAGATTAATCTCAGTCAAATACTGTAAAAACAAAACAATTGCAAGAAACAGCAAGTGGAAGTTTATGGAAGACGAGAAATTGCCCTGGAAATCACTTTTTAAAAGAACAAAATTTCAGGATTCTTAAATAAACATTATTTTTTTTTAATTGCTGCTACAGTTGGACACAATGCTGTGTGCCCTTCAAAAACTGGGATCAACTGTGAGGATGCAGCTGCAAGCCTTGGACTTTGGGTGAAGCAAAGTTAAAACAGTCCTGCAAAACCAGCAAACCTGGAACTGCTTACCTAACCCTGTTTCTGGTTTTTCAGTGTTTCAGGGTGTATTTTGTGGAGAAATTCACCAGGTGGGGAGATTGAGAAGATAAAACTGAACAGAAATATTGAGCTTTTAACAAATAACTTTAAAACACATAAGTGCCCTTACAGAACATAATTCAAGACATTCCTCTGACTCAGACAGGACAGGACTAGCAGTTAATTAGGAACCAACCTCACTCAGCACTCAGCTTAGCCTAATTTGATCCCCAGACATGTGCAAGGAAGCAGTCTGCCATTTGGGTTTGATTTCAGGCCTTGCAGGGAGGGAGGAGCACCTCAGATTACAGGCCACAATCCCTGCCACCGTGCAAAGGCAGGGTCAGAGATGTGATGAAAGGAAAAGCAGCAGAGCTGTACCTGCATCCCTTGTGTGTAGCCTAGGGATGGGGGGCCGTAGTCGTTGATGAGCTGTCTGTACTGTGCTGATGTTGCCATGCTTGTGGAGGGAGAGTGAACACCCCCAGCTGCAGAGAGAAAAGAGAGAAAAAAACCCCAAAAAGCTGTTATTACCTAAAGATTAATTAGTCTGCTACACTGGGACACATTTTAATCACTTCTTCCTAAAGCTGTGACCTCTCGCCTTTGCCTGAGATCACTAATGACATTTCTGAGTGGCACTGCTAGGAAGAGAATGGCTGAATTAATGCTTCTCTCATGTTTGATGAACACTTGGAAACAGCACAGCCTGCAGCATTATCAGTGCAAATTGTTTGCCTAAAAGTGAAGCAGAGTGCAGCATGACAGGTTGTTCTGCCTAGACAAACTGCAAGTATTAAGGAGCCCTATTTTTGCATATATACATTCCACACAGATGAGTCTAATGTGCCAGGCTATTTTTACTTTTTCAGTGCAAGTTATCTGAAAGTAATTTTGCAACTCAAAGTGTCATCACATGGTCAAAGCAAGTTACCCTCAGTGCTATTTTCAGCCAATGCCAAAACTATTCCTGGGGAACAGTCAGTTGTGGTACATCAGATCTGCTGCTCTTTGTGTGACATGGGAGGCGAGGAGTGCTACCATTATTCCTCTTTGTGTGATATCAAACATTTTTAGCCAGTCAAATTGTGCTGTATAAGTAGATCAAAGGGAAAATAACATCACTTTGTGTTATGGTTACTTTTTCTAAAGTTATAAAAGATTATATTCACATCTAATGAGTTTTGAGTCAGTTAGGAGCTGCAGAAACAGACTCTAATGTCATCACTGACAAACTGCTCCAGAAATGAGCAATCACAACACTTTCTCCCCCTTGTCCTGCAATGATAAGAATTTAAGTTTGAGAAACAACAGTTTGATTTTTTTTTTAAGGGGTTTAATTATACTGCCCACTTCACAAGTGTGCTAAAAACCAGCTGGTTTTGCCCTTGGGATCAAGGGAGCACCACAGCACTGAACTTCTTCACTCTTGCAGCCCAAGTGCCCTTGCAGCCATGGCTGCTGCTGCCTTTGCCTGTGGGCACAGACACAGACTGCCTGCTGTCTGCAAATATCTCCCCCCTACAAACTCCTTGGCTGAAAATTCCCAACTGTCTTTCAGATGAGGAACAGATCTCATTTACCAGCCTTCATTTAAATCTAAATTAAACTGATGCTAAAAGTCACTGGGGCTCAGAACTATGTAAATCTCTGGCTTTGTTTTAAAGTTGCAAATTACTTCATTCCTATTTTCCCCTCTCTACAAAAAGAAAGGGCCAGCAGTTACTCTGTAAAAAGCTCTGCTGAACATAGTGGAACAGACTCTTGTCCTCAGATGGGAAGTCTCCACTTCTGAGTTATCACAGAATATCACTCATTACGAGAAGAGAGCATGGTCTTAATTTTTACTAGTTAACAAGATGTGAAATCCCAAAAAGGCAAACTGGGCTGGTCACTAGGTCACAAAGTTTCTCTTTGTCTTTAACAAAGCTGCTAAATTCTATGTCATTACAACCTGTAGTTTCATCACTGAGGGTTCACATGGAGCTAATTTTGCTTAAGCATAGTAAACCCCCCAAAAAACAACACAGCCATAGAGTAGGGCACTGTAGGAACAGCACAGTTGTCAGCCACTCTCTCAATTAGTTCTTCACATTATCACCTCAAAATACATGCACAAGTGTAAGATCTCTCCATGTGAAACTCAGTACTTCAAGTCCAGATGACTGAATTTCAACAATTACCAAACATGACACAACAGCAAACCGCATCTCTTTTCCAAGGACTTCAAAATGCTTCAAAAACATTAATGAGCCCCTTGTGCTGCAAGGTAAGAAGGTTTAATTACCTCAATTAAGCAGAGAAAGGCTTAAGTGATTTTTCCTCACTACAATAAAACAAAAGAGCCATCCTGCAAAGACTTGTCTCTGAACTGTTGTTGCAAGCAGTCACATCCAGGAGCTGGGAGCTCCAAACTGGATGTGGACAAGGCAGGGACTCCCAGGGCCAGGCTCAAGAACACCGAGCAAAACTGAGCTGCAGCCCATGAAAAACTCAGAGCAACTTACTGATCCCTATGGGTCAATAAAAACAAATTGGTTAAAGATATATATCAGGAGATGGTGGGCATTGGAACAGGGGTCACAGCACTAAGCCTGGTTTGGGAAACATTTGGAAAATGCTCTCAGGCACATGCTGTGAGTCTCAGGGTGTCCTGGCTGATGGGTCCCTTCCATCTCAGCACATTCTGTGCTATCACAGCACACACAATTCAGAGATTGTTTCACATTCTGTCAGTTTTAGCAGTGACACACACTCGCTCTGCAGGAGATAACACCGTGGGGAACACCAAGATAGGACACACAAACTCTCCAACACAAACCACAGAGTTGGCTGACTGAAAAAAGTTTCCCAGGCATGGAAACAGCACGGGGGCTTGATCCCAGCTGTGGCTGGGTGACACTGAGGGACAAAGGGGAGCGAGGAGGGATGCACA